TAATAATACTATTGTTCTTAAATATTGAAAAAAAGTTGTTAATTTTATATTTTATATTAAAATACTCTAGTTAATATAAAAAAATTAAATAATAAATAACTATTAAAGATGAGTCACATAACGTGGCTTTAACAAATTTTTAGACGCTTTAAGAGCGTTATTTTTAAAAAATAAAGAAAAATGGAAAGGCTAAGGCGTAATAAAGAAACTTAAAGATATATCAATAACAAGTTAATTATCCATGAGCATGTATGATCATTAAAAACATCACATTATCAATGAGAAACATTAAATATGTCTAACAATAGCATTGCATTGTACTTGTAAAAGGTACACCATTTCTGTTAACTTGATGGATTACTTTCATACAATTTGTACAATAATAAATTTTTTTATAACTGTTTACGGTGAAAAATGACAGTTGTAAACAAATAATCCAAAGATCATTCTGAGGACTGGATTTAGGTCTTATTTGAGTTCTTTTAAGTGTGTTGTTAACGTAATGCTCAAATTAACGACGTAAAAGAGTATTAAGCAAGAATAGTGAATAATAAATGTGCAGAATTAAATCAAACGTAGATGCTTTTACAGAAATGTAGCAAGCCGGAACTAAACAACGTACAAAGACATAAGTAACAAGAACTGAAATTAAAATGCAGAATGGTAAATGCAGGAATGTAAAGGTGCGTGAATGTAAACGTACGACTCCTCACAACAGCGAACAGCGGCCACCGTAGGTCTCCTTGTAGCTGGTGTCTGGCGCGGTGCAGGGTTTCAGCATCTCAGAGTGTTTAGGTGCGGTGTCTGGGTGCAAAAAGTCGTCCTTTGTAAAATGGTGCTTTGGAGTATTTATAGACATGAAGACTACCATCGTTCTCCTCCTTTTGCGGGCACTTCTTAGTAACTGCCTTCAACTGTTGATGTCCACTATCCACGATTGCTTGTGATCGTGTTGTTGGTTGAGGTTTCTTTCGTAACCGCTATCGCCCATGATCTCCTTTGTGTAGTGGTAAATGTTGATAACTGCTGGTAACCGCTTCTGAATTTTTCAATGACTTAACCTATCAAGACTCTTGTTTTTCTATCTTTCGAGTATTTCTGGGAGAAACTTGAGAGACTCCTTTAATGTTACGGCCTTGGCATAATTTCTTCTTGACTTCTCTTTTCGAGCCATTCTGGAGTTTTGAGAACTTTGTCTTGGTCTTGTGGACTTAGAATCTTTTCTTTGTCCATTTCTATTTTTTGAGCAATTCTGGAGGAAATCTGGCGCTCAGTCAGGTTTGTGAACTTAGAATATTTTCTGATCACTTCCTATTTTTTTCGAGCATTTTTGGGTGTCAGGGACTTGGAAACTCCTCAAAACTCCTCGAAAAGCCATCAGTTTTTTGTGGACTTAGAATATTTTCCTGTTAGTTCTGTTTTTCGAGCAGTTTTAAGTGTTAGGGACTTGAAAACTCTTCAAAACTTCTCGAAAAGCCATCAGTTTTGTGGACTTTAAGTATTTTTTCTTGCCAGTTCTATTTTTCGAGTAGTTTTGAGTGTCAGTGATTTGAAAACTCCTTAAAACTCCTCGAAAAAGCCTTCAGTTTTGTGGACTTGGAATATTTTCGTCTTTCAAGCAGTTTTTTGAGAAAAAATCAACAATGTTGCAAAAATCGCTAAAAATAGCTTGAAATGTGTCCCTTAAAACTAAGTCCTAGATAATTTTTCAGGCTTCTTTTTGGCTCCTTTTTGACCCTCAAAATTTTGTCGAAAAATGAAATTTCCTACAAAATGATCTTTAACTTGGAAAATTTTCTTTATCCCAAACAATAACCTTCACAGTAAATAAGCAATTTAGTATAGTAAAAAATTAAACAAAAATTATATTACATTTTTTTATCATGGTCATGGAAATTCCAATGTTAAATGCCACAAAAGTTTTAGATAAACACACTAAAGCTACTAATGTCAAGATTACTTTCAACACTCTTATTAATATTGACATCCACCTCATTAAAGGACGAGAAGCCCTCAAACTATATGAGAAGATTGAACTAAAACACACTACACGAGTCATAAAAATAGAAAAAACTTATACTAAATATCAAATAGTCTAGAAAATGGTATCTATTGAAATTGTGACATATGCTATAGAATACAATTTTTTTTCCAACCATGAGATTACCACTACAAAAGAGTTTTCAACAAAATTAATGAAATAAATTATCCAATTAATAAAATTTATACATGTTAGAAAATAATCAAAATTGAAGAATCTTATGCCTCCCCCTAAGCTGCTCTAAAATGAGCACAATCTAATTCAAATATAATATCCTCTTCAATAACATAGCAACGAGAGCATTTACAAAAAATAGTAATATGTTACTGGAAATAAGGAGCATTTAATGTAATGGAGTTATAGTAAATAAGTTAAATAAAAAATTTTGAACACTTCTAAAATATTAAGCCTCCAAAGTTATTTTCACTCACACTTTGTTTGAAAATTTAGAAAGAGAAAGATAGAAGAGTTTGAGAGTTAAGAGAGGAAAGGGAAAGAAAGAAAAAGAAGAGAATTAACAAAAAAATCTCTGTATTAGAGGAAAGTTAAGAGTTTGGGAGAGAAAAGAAAGAAGAAGTTTAAAAGATAATGAAGGAAAAGAAAAATGAGGATTAATAAAAAAAATAACTTAATTATATTTTTTTCTAGTAAAAATAATATTATTTATGATAATAAATTATTTTAAAAAATTATTAAAATTTACTCTCTAACTTATTTAAAATGTCAGAATTTAGTCTTTTTGTTAAATAATTTATTAATATATAATACTAAAATTCATGAAAATGAGAAAATTTAACATAAAATACTCATTTATATTAGAACGAGCTAAAATAAAACTATAAGAATTTTTCAGGAAAAATTAGAATTTAAATTAAAAATATAGTATAATTTAAATATTTCTCAATAGGAAAAACTATAATTTACTCATAAAACTAACATTTATTAATTTGTAAATTATAATTAACATTTATAAATATTTTAAAAATATATTATACATTAAAATAAAATTAACTAATGAAACATCAATTAATTTTTAACTTTTAAATTATATAAAATTTTGTTAACCTTACTTTATAAGAATACCAAATTCATCAGTTAAATTCATATAATAGGATAGACAGACGTACTAGAATGGGAATAACAGAAAAGGTTCTGATTTACTTAGTATTTTTTTTTAAAAGAAAAAGATACCATAAAATATGAATTTTTAAAAAATGGCACATCTATTATAAGAAAGTAGAAAGGAATATGACAGCTCGTTCTATTCCATTTTATCTATACTCCAAATACTACGGGTGTATTACACATTAATATTTATTAATAATTTCATAATTTTTAACTAATTTTATAGAAACTTTTTTATGAAATAAAATTTGAAGGAATAATTTTTTTTAATTTATATTAGTTTTATTTTTTTATAAATTCCTTTAAAAATTTATCTAAATTAAACTTAAAAAGCACAAACATAATATGAAATACAAACGTGACACAACAAGGTTCACATAGTTCATTTAAAATAAAGAAAACACAACATAGCAAGGATATGTTATTTTTAAAAAATAATATTTTTAATTACAAAATACAATATTTTAAACATAAAAGTATAAATATTTAATATAAATTTATATTTTAATTATAACTTATCTAGCTTTAAATTTTGAGTTAACTTTGAAATTTTTTTCTAAATTTTGATTAAAAGTCGGGAGTCCAAAAGTTAATCAGTGATAATCTAAAATATATCAAACATGATCTGATTCAACTAAAAACAAAAAGGTGCTAAGGTAAAATAAAAATGATTGTAGTGCATTTATTGTTCTTTTCAATGTTTTATTTTTAAACGCATTTTATGGCATTATATATATATATATATAGTTTTTTGGTGTTGAATGCTTCAATACCACTCCCTGTTGTCCTTAGAGGTTCACCATCTATATGCATACCTGCATTCTGTTCATTAGAAACAAACTACAATTATTTAAAACACACGCTTTAACGTAAATTTTGAATTATTTTTTTAAAAAGATAAAGTAATTTTTTAAAAATTAATCTGCTTCACATCCACCTCATCAAATAAACATTTCAACTTCTATGCATAGAAGAGTTAAAGAGCATTAGCCGCAAATTTTTTAATACATTTTTTATGATCAATCTATTTTCAAAAAATTGAAGTAATTTTGAAAAATTAATTAATTTATAAGACAAAAAAATAATTTTTATAAAAATATATCAATCACAAAAAATGTTACATAATACATTACTAACATATTATATATATATATATATATATATATATATATTAAAATGTTATATATGAGTTGTTGGGTCTTTTTTTATGGAAAAAATTATCAAAATATGATATTTTTAGAAAAATTATAAAAAATAAAAATTATTGGGTGGTCTAAAAATATGTAATCTCACTCATACTTGCCTATTATAATACCATTTATTTAGTTAGTGATGTCATCTCTTTCTCTAACTTTATTTTAATCATGATTCTTAGAATAAAGGCTGAATGTGCATTTTTGGGGTTCTTATAGTGACGAGGTCAATTCGTTTATTGCTTTGGTAGAAGCTTGCAAAATAATTATTGGTTTAAAAATGTTTACTAATAGTTTATACAGCTTATCACTCCTAAACTATTTTTCAGTTAATTTAATAAATTTTTAATATAAATTTTATTAAAATAAATGAAAATAACTTATTTTAAAATTTTATCATTAAATTTAAAATATAAGTAATTTTTTTAAAATTAAAATAAGTACTTAAGTAAATAGTTTTCTAAATATACTTTTTTTTCATAAAACGTTGACAAACCAAAGTGCCAATTGATTAACTAAGTTAAGTTCTGATCTTAACCATTCTTTCTCTTTTTTTAATAAAGCTCCTTCTTCTTTAGAGTCTTTTTAAAACTTGATTCTTTATGTGAGTTTACTGCCTAATTTTTTTTGTTTGGACATTCAGCCTCGTTTAATAACAAAAAAACAGAAAAAAACTTGACAAACCTTAACTTAATCATATCTATTACATATCATGAATTTAATAATATAAATATAGGTCTTTAAACATTGATTAAAAAATTAAAAGTAAAAATTTGTCTTAAAAAATACGTTAAATAGCATGAAAAATCACAAAAGAATTGTTATATTTTCTAATAAAAACTTTTTACTATTAATTCCTTAAGAACACTGATTAACACTTGCCAATGAATATAAACGCACATTTATCCAGTGCAAGGATAATACACGCAATAAAATAAAAGAGAAAAACTCGAATAGAACCTCCATTCTCAAGATAATTATGTACCATGCAGCATAAATCATCTGTGCAAATCCACATAGGTGGAATCGGCACACATTTTTCTAGCATCCAACCAAAATATTGACCTGTTAATTTCACTATTTTTACCCATATATTGCCAGATAGGAAAAAAGAAGCAAGTGGGCAAAGAACCTAAGCAAATTTCCAAAGAAAATAATGCCAAAGTCAAAGTGAAACAGTAAATTAAAAAACTAAATATTCTCAAGTTGGGGAATACATTATAACACATATCTACAAATTGACAACTCAAGATAAAATTATGCAGCAAATTCAATATAACTTATTCTTCACTACATTGTTCCTTTGAATTCCAGCATGCCAACCGGTCAACTTGTTTCTCAGCCAAATTTGCACAACCCCCAATGGCACATAACATTTTTTCAGTGACTTGGTTCTATCACAGCAACAATGTGCACATCCCCAATGATACCATTTTTCAACCTGTTTCTCAGCCAAATTTGCACAACCTCAATGGCACATACCATTTTTCAGTATAATGGTATCACAGATAAGATGGGAGTACAACCCACCCCCACCCCTTCTATATATAATAAGGAAACATGAGAACCAAATATGTACCTAAACCTGTACATGCTAACCACTACTGGGGTTCTTCCTACCAGCCCACACACGGTAACAAAATAAGCTCCCTTGTCAAGAGAAAAAGAAAAGACAAGAGATCAAGTTGAGTCCATCACAAGGGGCCTGATTGCAAATTTATCATAAAGCTGCACATTGTTCTGTGCATCATGACAAGTAGACAATTAAGGATGAGGCAGAAGCCTCCATCATAGATGCAACTCGCACTTTCCACGTTTAAGATTGCTCCAGATGTATTTGAACAGATACAAGGTTGTCCTTAAGATATTGGAGTGATATTCAACCTGAAAACCATTATCAGCAGGTGAACTTCTGTAGTAGTTGTCTATCAACTTAGCACTGTTTCTGAGTTCACATGGCCACCATTGCCCCCAGCAGTACTGTCCAATCCAACCACAGGAACAGAGCGCTGAGCAAAATCCAGTAATAGCTTCCTCTGGCGTTCGTCGGTGTGAGGGAGACTAGCACGCAAAAGTTCAACAGGCATTTCCCCGCTAATAGCTTTGGCAGCATCTGGCCCAATGTCATCCACGCTCGGTGTACTTTGAACAAGCATGGATTGCATGATACTATGGTATTTATTCATGCAATACTTGGTGAGAAGGCCAAAGAATTCATCAAATGAGGCCTGCCAAAATGAACGGTTACCTATATTGTAGTTGCAAGCAGCATGTGGATCGGTTAGGAGTTCAGTAGCCCTCTCAAGAACAGATACTAAAATAAGGGAAGCACCATCTCCAGCAGTGCTTCCAAGGGGCCGTAGAGGAGGCTGCTCCGCAGAACAAACAACTGCTGCAAGACAGGCACTGAGAGCACCAAGATCCATTCCTCGGACACATTGGCAAACAACCTTGGCCAGGTTATTTGTAGTCTCTGAAGCTGCCGGATCAGAGGGAAGACCACCAAATAAGAATCTTAAATGACGAAAGATGGTCATGCAAACTATCCGCATAAGCTCACTACCAGGAAGGAGCAACAGAAGATACTTTGTAAGGAGCTTACGACCCTTGGGAAGAGATACCAATCGTAAGAAAACAAGGTCATCTTTAGCAGCAAGCCCAACTTTATGTCCATTTTTTCCCAGTGGGTCAACAAGTTGAAGTGAAGTAGCCAGTCCTTCCAACAAGACCTGCCTTCTTCGTCTTAATTGGGTTCCACCATCTTGTGGCTGATTAATCTGTAGGTACCGGTCAATATCATCTACATCAAGAAGAAGACAAAGACCATCCTCAATTGCGACTCTGGCAGCAAAAGTAGGTTCCTGTTCAAGGGGCTTCTCTGAAATCTTTTGCTCAGAGCTAACAGAAGAGTTTGGAGAATCAACCTCAAGAAGAGGGCGGGGACGACGAATAGACGAAAACGAAACCCTCCCTAAGGCATCAACCTGAAGAAATGCATGTGGCTCGTTATTAGTACGGGTTCGCGAAGGAAGTTCCCTTATTTGGGTTGGACAGAATGGATGTTTTAACTTAGCTACAGAAGGTTTTTTTGCAAGACAAGCTTGGTGGTAATAATCATCCACATATGGATCATTACTATGAGTAACAGCAAGTTGCATTCTAAGAATGCTTTCAATTTCATCACTTGTCATATACTTGGACCGAAACTGAAATGAACCACTCTCACTCTTCTGGCTATTGGCATCAGAACCCTGTTGGGAAAAACGAAGACTGTGTTTACCTTTCTGATTTGATTTTGGTCTATGATCTCTAACATCAGGCAGACCAAGCATGTGGTCATACTTGTTAATTATGGATGAGCCAGAGGAAAGGGGGGGACTGAATAAATGGGACTGGAAACCTGATAAGTAGCCTGCAGACCGCTGAACAGGATGATGCAGTCTACGATGCTGTTGTTGCAATTGAGTCATCAGGTGGGGAGGTACTGATCCATTATGAAGGTGTAACTGTTGCTGCAACATATTATTAAGGATATTTGAATGATCCCCAGGATACAACCGTCCTTGGTTTACCAATTGATTATGTATTCTCTGATTAAGAGGGGAACCAATATGAAATTGGCGCGTGTTTCCCCCAAAATGTGACCCAACATTTAATCCACTCAACTGTAATGCAGAATTAGAGAAATGAGAACGACTTTGAGATGATAGTGCCATCTGAGCTGCTCCAGTATGATAAGGAATGTTTAAGTGGTCTGTACTATGACTTGGAGAAGCCTGCTGAGATCGACCACCAGGAGGAGGATAAGAAGTAAATGAAGACTTCGGTGCCAAAATTGGTTCACTAGAAAAACGAGGAAGCTCCTGTTGTTGTTCAGGATATGAAGATGTTCTGTACAAGGGCTTTGGTTCTTGTAAATGCGGAATAGAGGAATGTGGCTGTGATGACCATCGTTTGCCATCATTAGCAGTTTCAGTTTCATAAAAATGCTGATCAAGCCAGTTAGGAACTGGTTCGCTAGAGCAATGTTGGAGGTGGTAGTGGTGCTCCAGCCTTTGCTGCTCAGGATATGAAGATGTTCTGTACAAGGGCTTTGAATCATGTAAATGGGCAAGAGAAGAATGGGGCTGTGATGACCATCTTTTGCCATCCGTTGAACCTTCACTGTCATAAGCATTCTGATCAAACCAATTCAGACTATCATCCCTTTGTGGCCATTCAGAAGTAGAATCTGGATACAATATAAAAATATCAATAAATCTGTCAACTGAAAAAAGGTTTCATATAATGAGAAGGGGGGAGTACACGTGCGAAAAATCCACTAATTCATAATTAGTTTGACGACAAGACACATAACCTTATCTTAAAGCATAAATATTCTGAAGTAGATTTTACTCACACATACACACAAGACCAGACCTTAAAATTCAGACCTTCAATTACATGTCCTTCCTCAATCATTAGTGCAATTATTACAAAGATGACAAAAGGAAACACAGCAAAGTTTAAGTTACTATCACTTTTGTTAGACCCCTTTCCTTAGTCGGAGGAAGTTTTCTATTTAAAAACCATCAAGTTATGGGATAAACTTGTAGCAGAACAGAAACACCATCCCCTATCCACTAGCATATAGGCATGTTATCACACGTTGTAAATTTAGGCTTGTATTCACAATTTCATATATCTAAATGCATACTCGCATATTGAAAACCAACATAAATTGTGGGTGTATCACTGTCACTAGGTCTGTATGTCATGGTAAAATACTCATTAGAAGCAACATATAACCATGTATGTATCATGAGTAATAACAATGCAACTCTTACAAATAATAAATAAGATTGCTTACATGCACCAAATTATTTCTCAGCAAGTGACGATCAAAATATAGTAAAAATCAATAAAATAATTAACATAAATAATTATAATTTCATAATTATTATTAAAAACATAGTCCTTGATTTATTGAATCATTGTGTTCCCACAACTCACAGATCACGATTCCCCTGGTGCAAACTAAAGGGTAACAAATAGTTGATAGTCAAATCAAAACTATGCATCTTAGTTACACATAAATGAAGTCACATGTTTTTCTGCCATTAAAATTCCATATTACAAAAAGGCTTAATTCAGATTAACAGTTCCTAGCTTCGAGTATTAATCCTATATTCAAACAGGTAGTTTGTAGTTTCCACTTTGGGAAAAAAATCCATTAAGCACTACATGGCATCAGAAAATAATGGAATAATATCTATTAGAAATGTTAAATAAAAATAATAATAAAAAGATAGAAGTAAAAAATGACATTATTTTTGTCTTGACAAAAGAAAGAGCAAAGTGAACTCATTACAATTGCTTTACTCACTTTCTCTTGATCCCCGTTCACCTATAACACCTGCACTTCTTGGTCCACTCACGGACTTGTTCAACTGAAATTAAAAATGAAAAATTATCTTCATTTTGATATGCATAAGGCAGAACTAATGATCATTCATAAGGACAACCAGACAAACAGTATGATCAAAATCACAAGTGAAACTGGATAATAAAACCAAGCATTGGGGGAGCACATATCATGAACATATCAAACAACTAAAATTTTGTGTTTGAGACAACATTTAGTTGGTTCCAAAAACATTCGAGTTTGAAATGCCAAAGGAAGCAAGCTAATCAGATTAACCTTCACTTAACTTTTTCTTCCAATTTTCCTTTTTTTTTTTTGATGAATGAATGAGATAATGGCTATGTAGTAAAAATCAATGGACTTACCAACCATAGGAACTTAGCTGCCAGGAAGGGTAAAAAGAATACAGATTAAAACTATCATGCTGCACAGAGAAAATTAGAAATACAATAGTACACTGGCAAGCTCCTTTAACGCACTGTCAGAAAAACCTTTACCAATATCTTCAGATATTAAAAGATCCAAAAGTCTGCAGTCCCTATCAATATAGTTGCATACCATAATGTTCTCCCACATTTCTCAATTACCAGTAAAATGATTGACATCCTTAGTCCATACTAACTCTAAAGAGGAACACAAAAACTACACAATTTTAAGAGAAAGACTAATGTTGAGTAGGAACAGATGGAAGGGGGATAGGTGTTACATACATACATAGATAATTAGATAACCTATAATTTGCGGCTCACCAATATAATTATTCTCATGCAAGTCCATTATTTTACTTGCATGAGGTGTCAATTTGTCAAACACATTCTCAACGTGAATACCTTCTTCACACCCATATGACGTGTCACACATTCCTGACTGGGTTTTTATTAAAAAACTATTTTGTCAACTCAAACACTTGAGCCAATACCTCCATAGAGATAGACACTTCAAGGATACTAGTAATATTGAAAGAAAAAGCAGTTTTCTTAAAACAATCAGAAATGTCAATAAAATATAATATAAAAGTATTGAAAAATAGCCTCTCAGTATATTTTAGTGAGGCTCATTATTATAGAAAAAAAATCTAAAACTAAGGCTTTGCTGACAGTTAGTTTTAAAATTTGAAATTTATAAAAACTAAAATGTTTTCAATTTTATAATTCTTAATTACAAATTTTTGTAGGTTTTATCTTTCAAATTTTGTTTTGATGCTAAATCTTAACCCCAAACCTCACAAATCACTCTGTGTCCTCATGTAGACTAGTCGAGTGATGAAGGTTGCAATGGGATAGGGAAGTGACAAGAATGGTAGAATTGTGGCATTGGTAATAGTGGCAACAAAAATGGTGGTTGTGATAGTGGCTTGTGGTAGCAACTACAACTAAGGTGATGGTAATTGCAAGGGCAGTGGTAGTTGTAGCAGTAGAGACTAACTTGGTGGTAGTTGCAATGGTGATGATTATTGTAGCGGTGGTAGCAGTCATTTTGGTGGTGGATGGACATGGTAGGGACAATGGCATTAGCAACTACAACAATTTTCTGTGATGATAACAATGGTAGTGGTGGTGGTTGTGGCAACAACAGTAGAGATGGCAATTGTGGGTGGTGGCAGAGGTGGCAAATTGGCAATGGTGGATCATTCAGAGATGGGGGAATTGAATGATTTATTTTTACATTTAAAAGGTAAAACTACTTTATTGGTTTTAAAAATTGAGCTAAAGAGTTTCAAAATTGTGCCTCAACTCGTATACTTTGAAGCATTACATCAACAATATTATAGAATCACATATTTTTTATAAAATTTACAAATTCAAATATATTTTTTCAATTTTTAAAAGAATGTGTGCAAATTAAGAAATTATCATCATCACAATACATGTCACTAATCTAAATAAATCTCAAGCATTCAGAGAAAGGGTGATAATCCTGTTTTAACAACCTTACCTTCAAAAAAGTGGTCGTAAGATCATCAATATCAGAAAGAGATCTTACATCCTCAGCCTGCAGATGCATAGTGAAAGTAAAAGTAAGTTGATAACAAACCTTGGAATCATGTATGTAAAATGTAAATGATGGTGAAAGTAAGTATATAAATTAGTAATAAGAACTTAGAAGATTGAAAATTAAGTAATTACCTCTTCTCTATTGAGAAAAAACTCCTCCTCATTAGACTCAACAGGAGGCAAATGGTCGTCGTCTTCTAAACCTCCCAACTCTACTTCCTGGACTACATCTTTGCCGAAAAATGCATATTGTGATGCGTCAAAAACTGCACCCTCTGCATGAAAAATAATTCAAGTCAAAAGCCCACCAATATCTTTGAACTATGTAACATGAAAAGTTGTTGCACGTACCCAGCAACAAGCACAAAACAAAAATCAGATAAGCTCAACACCTAACGCATATTGTGATCCATAAAGCAAGAAGAAGAAGCTATTTAAGTATGTAAAGCCAAGGAAAATGGCATGACAAATTTAAAGTTAACAAACATGCAATATCATTGAAAGCACAACAAATCTTTCACTGCAAAAATGGAGAAAATATTAATGCAAATAATACAGTATAATAAAACATTGACATGCGGAGAAAGTGCTCTTAACTCGGCACTATCTCTATTTGACCTTCTGGCAAACTAACTATCCTAAATCATTAGCTCAAAGCAGACACACACAGATTATGCACTCATGAATGATGAAACACTAAGGTCAATCAACTAAAGCAACCGACAACAGCATAAATCCAAAGGTGACAATAAAAAATCACAAACAAAACTACAAAAAATCACAAACAAAGAAGGTTTTGGTTCAGCTAACTAAAATGGTTGATCATCAAGCATCTCTGAACTGAAGCTAAAAAACAAAGGAAGCACCTTGAAATGCAAGCTAAATCTTCCTAAAATTCAAAGTAAATCATTAGCCAAAGCAGGCCGGATCTACAAGAAAAAGTAGAATAAAAGAACACAGAAACAAATACCCATTAAATAAAAGGATTAGAAAAAACGAGATTTGAATCCCAGAAGATGAAGCAAACCTGAGGGAACATTCCCCAACTGCCTAAGATTCTGTGTGTTGGAAGCTCCCCCAACATCACCCCCAGCTCCAAACCCATCCATATCCACCATAAAACGAACGCAGAAGAAAACCCAGAAAGAGAAAAACGCAAAAGATCGAAGATTTAGAGAGAAATGAGAACCCAATGTGAAAAAGGTTGAAACTTGAACCCCTTGTTTTTTGGTTTTCTCATAGTGTTTCAGCTAGAACGGTGAAACGAATAAAAAGGGGGAGAAGAAGATCTGTGCTGAGAATTGAGCACAACAAACCAAAAAAAAAAGAGGGGTGGATTTGGATCAGAGAGAAAACAGAAGGAAAGAGAGACAAAGAGAGGAGAGAGACAAAGACAGAGAAGAACCCTACAAAGTAGATATTATTGATCCAATTTTATTACAGAAAAATTGTTCCTTCATTTTGTTTTTTCTTATTTTTTTAATTTAATGTAAAAGCAGAACGAGACATTTTGGCAGCCAAAAAAATACTCTCGACAGCTAAGTACAAAATTTAGGTACAGTATTTTTTGCGTTATTCTTTTAATTGAAATTATGTTTTTTTAATAATTGAAATTAGAGTTTCGTCTCATAATTATGCTAAACTTTACTTCCTAATGTTTAATTTTTCATACATGAGTTTTATTAATATTTGTCGCAGAGTATTTAATTAAAAAATGCTAAAATTTATAATGTTTATTTAAGTTTTATCTTAAATTTAAGTAAGAATTTTCATGGTATTAATTAAAGAATATTTAATATTTATTAACATCAAATAAGTTTTATATTAAATTAGCTAATAATTCATGTAATGTATGAATATTTTATTTTAAAATAAATAAATACAAATATATAATTTAATAATTAAAAATTAAATTTTATATTTTTAAAAATAATCATATGTATAATAAATTAATTTTAATATTAATATTCAAAAAATTAGTTTTACAACTACAAATAATATAGTATTAAAACTATTAAATTTTAAAAATATTAAATAAATTTGAAATAATATTTTTATTTATAATGTCAAAATAATTTAATTAAATATCAATAACTAATATATATTAATATTTACAAACTTAAGATATAAATTCTTCAAAAAAATTAAAATTTAATAATAAATAAATAAATAATACAAAACTATGTATTTAAGTACAATAAAATATACACGTAAATGTTGTTTGAATTTTTAAAATTTATAAAATAAAATATTATGAAACTATTCCCACATGGTACTTATCACAAATTAAAAATCATATAACAAAATTACTAAAAAATTGTGAAAATTTAATTTTTTTATGAAATTATAAATTTGAAACATTATAATAAATTATAAAAATTAAAATTATATATATATATATATGATATTAAGATAAATAGAAAATAGTAAAAAACATAATAATGTTAAAATTAAATTTATTATAATTAATTAAAAAATATTGAGAAATAGTATTTAAAAAATATAAATTTTTAGGGAAAATAGATTAAAATGATATATTCTAAAATTTACTGCAAAGAGATTTCTTCTACAAACTAAATATGTGTAATTACAAAATATTTTGATTGATAGTATTATAAAAAATAGATTAAGTCTTGTAAATTTTATAAATATAAATATTTCTATGAAATTTAAGAACTTCTGTGAGATAATAAACAATTATAAATATACATAATTATTTATGAAATTTTTCAAATTTTATATAAAATAATAATATTTTTTATAACTACAAACATAAGTATTGACAACAAATTAAAATTTTCATATAAAATTATTAATATTTTATTATTATACAAAATATATACAGAAAATCTATATAAAATGATAAAAATATTAATTAACAATTTTATCTCTAAAATTTATATTGAAATTAATAAAAAATTAAATTAATTATAATAATAAAAATATATAAATATCACAACATTTTCAATCAATTTTAATTTTAAAACATACACATATTAGTTTTTAACGAGTAATTTAATAAATTTAAATTTAATTATTTTACAAGTCTTTATCATTTTAGCCTAATCTTTTTCTGCACTAAAGAGATATCACTAATTTAAATTAAAAATATATTATATAATTTTTTAAAAATTTTGTAAAATATAAAAAGTAAATATTATACTATTTTAAATAAATTTTTGATATATTCAAATTTAAAAATAAATGCATAAATATATTAAAAAATTACTTGATATAGCAAAAAAGGAACTAATCTTTAAAATATTCTCATTTAAAAATATTCCTAAATTCAGATGAGTTTAATTTGAATAAAAATATTTCAAAATAAATTAAAAAGTAATAAAATTACAACAAATTTACTTAATAATTTTTTATAAAATATTAAATTTTATTAATTCAACTGTTAAATAAAGTATCTATTTGTGGTGATTATGTATATAAAATCTAAAATAAATTAAATATTATAAATATATAATTTTATAATTAATTTTTTATTTTAAAAATATATCTAATGTTGAATCAAGTTTTTTGACGAATTAATAATTAATTTTTATTTGTATGATATTTTGTAAATTTAATATATTTAATAATAAATTTTAATTTAATATTTGACTTCAAAGAAAGGTGAAGACTAAATTATTTTATTAATAAATAATGGTTATTATTTTTTCTAATTTTATACATTCTATAAAAAAAATTATTTCTACTATCAACTTTATTATAAGGGATGATCATTCATTGAAATGCAGTAAGTAATCTTTTTCTTCTTCTTTTTTTCTAAAAGAATGCAGTAATCTTTAAATATTCAGTGAAACCAAAAGCAAAATTTATTTGTTAATTTTTCAATAATGTTATTTGTAATGTTAACCACTTAAGAAAATTACATAATTATGTATATATATATTCTTTTGTTTAATAACTAATATTTAATACTTATAATCTGGAAATAAATTTAATGCAATCTGTATTAAATATTCGTTCTTTAACGAACATTAATTTTTCCATTTTGCATTATCAGCTTATAAGTACAAAATTAAAGAGCTTAAAAGACTGATTTAACCTCAATTATTGTCATGCCATAAATTATTCTTTTATATTATTATTGCGTAAGTTAAAAGTAACGAGTGATACGACAATATTGACATAAATAATGCTACAAAATAAATTGGGAAGAAATAGAATTGAATCAAAATTCGTAAAAGCTTAACAGTAATTCTTGAATTAATCAAAGTACTAAATATTATAATTTATTCTAAAAAATAACAACAATATCAATTTATTCTAATAAGAATTTGGATACAAATGTATTATTTTCCTTCATGTTCAAAATAATAAAAGGGTAAGAAAATAAAAACATAACAATTGAGTCTTGTTTATAAATATTTTAAAACAATGATAAAAGAATATTCCTTATATTCCATTATTTTCAAATAACATGTCATGAAATACAAATGATACCATTGAGGAGTTTATAAAGGAAAGAATATAAAATAATTAATTATAAATAAAAAATATTATATTTTATACCTTTTATTTTATTTAATTTTTTAAATATTTTATATTTTTATCAATTAATTATATGTCATACATCATGTTTATTAATTACTGAATAAAATTATGAAATTATTAACTTAATTTAAACATTTAAAAATTTTAAAAAAACTAAATTTAGAGAACTAAAATTATATATTTGTCAAAGTATAGAACCGAAAAGTTCAATTGAGTCAACATTATACTGTAATTTCTCAAGTCATTTAATTATTTGATTTATAAAACAAAAAATGTTGTTAATGCACGTATTTCATTGGCTAAAATAATATTAATTATGTTTCATTAAATTATTTAAATAAAAATATGATAAAATTTTCATATTTTTAAAACTTTCTTATACAATGAATTCTAGGTTTATGAAAATTGTCAAGTATCGAATCTAGTTTTCAACACTAATACTTTATTAAAACAAATATATTTATGTTAAACTTGTCTTATTATTAAAATAATTAAATTAAAGTTTTTAAATAAAGCTTAATAAAACCCTTTGTTTCTAAAAAATAAACAAATCCAAACATTCGTCGAATGTATTATTTGATTGATAATTCAGTTATCAATAAAATGTTAACATCTGTTATAGAAAAAAAAAATGTTAACATCTGACAGTTATGTAATATAGGTTTTATTGAGCCTATAAAATTTAGATACATTTTTTAGATAATTTAATATATTTTTTATTATAATTAAAAGTTTACTTTGATAAAAAGTCAACATTTAATATAATAATGTGTTATAAAGATAGAGTTTTAATTTTAATTAAAAAATAGTGTAAAAAATATTTGAAAAATTATACCTAACGTTTATCTTTATTTAACATTGCATATTAAGAATTAATTTCACACTTCTAAACTTTAATAATCAATTTTCATATTACTCAAATATTAGAGAACTAATGTGCATTTTTTTACCATACTAAAATAAAATAAAATTAAAATTACATAATTATCTTATAATAAAAAAATTACACAAATATTCTTATTAATATTTAAAAGAAGACAATTTAAATTGATTTCTTCTAAAAATAAAATACGGTTTAAATTGACTTGCGTTGTATTTACTCCTACAAAAATTGATTTTAATTGACTTTGTTTGATTTTATTTATTTATTTTGTTCTATAAAAATTGATTTAAATTGATTTTGGTTTGCTATGTACTGGCCCGTTTGTTTCTACATAAAAAAGATTTCAGTATAGTTATAATAAAGATAAATAATAATCTAAATCAACTTAATTTTGTTGATTATATTACAAGTAAATTGTGGTATAGGTAAATATTTTAAAAAATTTATTTTATTTTATCTAAATTTTTGTTAATTTAATCTAATTGTTACATATATTGTATAAAACTGTTAGTGTATTTTAGGCAAGTAAACATTTAGATTATAACTTAGAAAAAATTTAAATTTAGTGAGTGTTAATTATATTTTGAGAGTTTTAATTGTTGATTCATATTGTAATAATTTGTTTGTTTATTTTAATATATTTTATACATTTTGATAATGTTAATTAAGTTATACATTTTGTTAAAACTATTTTATGAGATAGTTAATTTAAGTATAAAGTATAATGTTGTTGTAATATGTTTATATCGGATATCATATTATATATGAATAAAATTATAAGTAATATTGATGGGACTATATCTAGAGCTAGTGATAAAGCTACTTGTAGTGACCTAATTCGTGACTGCCATGGGAAGTTTATAGCTAGATTCTATATCAATCTTAACCTGTAATAGAAGTTGAACTTTGAAGTATTTTATAGGCATTCAGCTTATGGTTCATATGAACATTCAGACTATCTAAATTGAAGGTGATTCCAACGAAACCCTCTACCTTATGCTCATTCTTGTTAGGGAATCTCTTAGT